GCTGGCCAGGCAGGACCTGCCTCCTTCTCATTTTCCTCCTCCAGCCTCGGAGAGACAGGCTCCGGATCTGTTTCCCCTCCTTACCAGGGAGCATTAGACCCCGCGCGCCTCCCTGGACCCCAAAGCCGAAATTCCAGGGTTTTGAACACTGAGACCAGAATTCAGTTCACCGAGGTGGCTCTGTCTCTTTTTTGTTCTAGGGGTGCAGAGACTCGGTAGGGAAAGGAAGCGAACATCTGGATCTGAGCGTTAGCTTCTAATCAGCGTATTGGCCCGTAGGCTTGTCACGCCGCCGCCTTTCGGGCCTCAGTTTCTCCGTCTGTTCCGTGGGGCTAGCCTCCCCTCTTGTAGCAGGTAGGCAGTATAGAATGGGAGCTATAGAGAAATGGACGTGAAACACTTTGCCAGCTGAGTGGTGCCTAGAAGCATTCAGTGATGAATGAATGGATGGTTCCTGAAAGGGATGGCAAGGAGGGAGGGAAGAGACGATGGAGGGCCTGTTGCAGGTTGGGTTCCTGGAAAGCAGATGCAGTGATGGAATTGCAGTGCAGGATGTTTATGAGGAAACACCCTGGGGACCAACACCCATGGAAGGGAGAGGCGGGGACAGGCGTGGGCAGGAGTCCAGAGCTCCCTGAAGGCCTAAGGTCAGTTTTGGCTGACTCCGCAGGCACTCAAGCTAGGATGGCCCCTCAGAGTTGTCCCCAGATAAACGAAATTGGCCAGGCTTTTATATCCCTGCCTTCATCAGCCCTTGGATAGGGGGCCATCTGGGAAGAGGTGTGACAGGAGCCAAGGTGGCCCTGTCCCTGAAGGGACTGACAGCTACAGGCTTTCTACTGACAGCACTGGTGTCCTAGGTCTTCACTGATTGGGGATCTGGGCAGCATATCATAGTGACTCCCACACTCAGAAAACCCCTACTGAGCCCCACTAAATGCCAGGTATGGAGCTGGGTGCTTATACTACTCGGTCTCCGGGAGCTCACGGGCTACCATGAGAGAAGCCAGGTACTCGGGATTTTGTGTAATGCAGTAAGGGCTAAGCACTCCTACTGCCACGTAGCAAATACTTCTTGAGCATCTGTTCTACACCAGGTTCTACTGTAGGTGCCTCTTATGCAGTGATGAACAAGACCGTGTGGTTCCTGCCTTGGGGGGGGGGGGGGCTGTCACAGGTATTAAATAATTCATAAATAGCTCTAAAATTACTGTTGTGGTAAGTACCACCTAAACTAGCCTTGGGTATGGGGTGGGGCAGGGCTCAAGGAGAGCTTCCCAGAAGGGACGTTTGTGCTAAGCTCTAAAGAATGAGTAGAAATTAGCCAGGTTAAAAGTGGAAAGGTCCTGAGGAGAGAGAAACGGTGCATTTTGAAACAAAGAAGGCTGGGTTCCGCTGGAGCAGAGAGAGCCAAGGGTGAGAGGAGAAGGTGTAGAGCAGGCAGGGGTGAGGTCACAAAGAACCTGGTAGGCCATAGTAGAGATTATGGTCGTTAAGGTAAGAAATGAAGGCTCTTTTTCTTTTCTTTTCAAGTGGGGGAGAGCAGCGAGTCCTGTGTTATAGAAAGATCCCTCTGACGGTTCTGTAGAGAGTAGATAGGAAGGGGCAAGAGCAGATGTGCTCCAGATGCTGGGGTAGAGGAGGATCTGGGGTTCTGAGGCCCAGAGGTGTTGCTAACCTAGCAGTCAGGAAAAGCCTCCTGGAGGTGATCAGAGTTACGTCTTAAAAGAGGAATGGGGATTCTCCAGTTTGGGAATGGGGGAGCGGGGCAAAGATGTGAGCCTGAGGGAGCAATGTCTGTGAAAGCACAGAGCTCAAGAGAAGTGCTTGGTTGGTTGGGGTGAGAAGGGGTATGGGAGAGATGAAGTTGCATCATCAGGGGCCAGATGGAGAAAGGTCTTGAGTGCCAAGTCAAAGAACTTGGATTTTACTCTCTAGGCTGTGGAGACCAAGGGTTTTGAAACTGGGCATAAGGTCATACAGTTAATAAGACTCAAACCCAGGCCTTTAGAGTCAGAACATGGGAACTTTCTGCACTATCAAGGAGGCCTCTCTCCTCAGGAGCATACAACATTATCAGGAGAGATGGAAAACAGGAAAAAGCCTGCTCCAGACAATGGCCGAGGCAGAAGTAAAGTGTTCCTGCCCTTTCTACCCCTTCTCCTCCCTTCTCTGTTAGAGCCTTGAGCCTTTGATGGGTCCTATGGTATTAAATGGTCCCATTTTCTCTACTTTGCCTTGTGAAGCTATTGGTCTCCCTTCCTGCTCTGTCCCTTTCACTCAGCCTTTCCCTACATGTCCCAATAACCAGGGCTTCTTAAATTCTGCTCTACACAACTTGGCGTTTTGCAAGCTTGGCTGAGCTATTTCCTGTTAAAATCCAGATAGGTAGGCATTTCTACTAAGCAGGAAAAAATAGTGAAATATTTCTCACTTGTAAATCTTTCTTCTGGGCCCTTCTCTCCTTCCCTTATTCATGCTTCAGAACTCAGCTCAGATATCATCCCCCTCTGCTACTACACTTAATCACTCCCTCCTCTCTGTTGCCTTTGTACCTAGTACATTTTCCTGTTAGTGAGGTGATAATAATATGAGTGTAGTTGTCTGTTACCATGGTCACCAGACTGTGCGCTCCTTGGGGGCAGGAAGGTTTATATCTGAATCATCTGTTCTACTTTTATTACTTGTCTATGCTAGAGTCTGATATGAGATGCTGTTGATTTTAGCCCACAGTGTATATTTTGTCATTTTATTTCTAGTCTACTATGAATTTTTGGCGTTTCTGAAAGAGCACAGCTATTCCCAGGTGGTCCATCTACACAAGTAAGAGTTCCACAGGCACAGACAAATGCACACAGTTCTCAGATGAGCACCTGGAAGGGTAGAGGACTCACTTCTGGATCCCCCATAATTCTCTTTCACAATTAATAATAAAAATATACAATACTCCTTATTTAAATTCCACATGGCCAATTTATTCTCACAGAATGCTTGGTTTTTGCCAAACTTGTATCTGTAGCCAACTAATGGTTTCAATTGCTGAATGAATGAGTACAGTTCCAAGATGAATGTCAGTTGATATGTTCATTTACATTAATAGTAAGGTGAAAGTAAAACAATAAAGACATATTTTAGAACTTCACTAGGTCAAGTGACTTTGCTGAATTGGATAGTATTTTTCCAATACTGGAAGACTATTTCCTCAAGTTTTTTTTAAAAATATATTTTTATTGCCCTAACCGGTTTGGCTCAGTGGACAGAGCTTCGGCCTGCGGACTGAAAGGTCCCAGGTTCGATTCCGGTCAAGGGCATGTACCTTGGTTGCAGGCACATCCCCAGTAGGGGGTGTGCAGGAGGCAGCTG